GGCCACAAATGTCCATCCACTGTTGCCTGATTTTGTTGTTTTGCGGGAAGTAATGGTAGAACCTGTCGTCGTTTTGTTTTTCCATGCAGTGCGGTATGTAGCATTTTCTTCTAATACCTGTAAACATTTTTTTTTTCTTTTTTATACTTTTGGGCAAGTTATATTCAGAATAAAAAAAAAAAAAAAAAAAACTGAGTTCTACCAATAATATGGTTTACATAATTTTTCATACACTAACAGACTTTTTTTTTTTGCATTATAATTTTTTTGCTAAAATGGTAGCCTCTTATTTACTTGAAAAAATAATTTATAAATAAAGAAAAGAGTCAAAGCGCTGTGTAAAAAATTATTGTACTAACCTGACGGAAAAAAAAGCTTTTCTCAATAATGTATGGTGAAAAGTGATGAAAACATAATTTTTTTCAGCAAAAAAATATATAATTAAAACATCACACTGGCAGAAATAGGTATATAAGTAGTTGATATAACGTTAGTCACCATTTTCCGGAAAAGTGGCAGGGACGGGGACCTCCTCTTCCTTGTCGTGAACCATTGATCTCAAAATATTCGCTATTTCATTATGAAACGGGTCGTTGATTCTTTTTCTCTTGACACCGGCAACTAAAAAAAAAAAAAAAAATCACAAACTTGATTCACACCAAATACGACGATTTTCAAAAAAACCACATTTATTTTCAACACAACGAACTCAACTGGTTGGCAATTTACATGGCACCAATTTCGGAATGTCCTTGGGTAGATTTTGACTAGGTGTGGTTCCTTTTTTGAGTCTTTGTACTTTGGCATCTAAATCTGAAATGGGACGAATTACAATTGCCATTGGAAACACACATTAAATATTTGATAGGACAGAAAAAAAAAAAAAAAAAAAAAAGAAAAACGCAACACTCAATTAACGTGCGAACCGGCGTTTAATCTCGTTAAAAGTACAAATACGGCATGAATACCTGAAACGTAGTCCTCCTGCTTGAAATGCCTGCTGCATACAAACATGTGCACCGTTATGTCCTTTGTGATCTTGCAGGCGCTTTTCCATCTGACCTTCGCCTCGTCATCCTTGGGAAAGCGGTGAAAAATTAGGGGCTCGGCGTCGCTGCACTTACACTCGGGCACGCTACAGTAGCGCTTCTTTTTTCGCTCACTTTCCCCCATTTTTCCGCCGAGCATCTACCTTTTGCCGAATTTTCGCTGATTTGAAAATTATATTTTCGTTCACGATGCTGGCTGATGTTGAAATTTTGACGTTGGAGCCCCGCCCGGCTGTGTTTACGTTCGCGTCCCTCTGGATGCAATATTGTGTAGGTATATATATATATATAGGGTGGGCAGAGCTCTCCCCCTCTCTCGCTCTCTATTCTAGCGTCTCTTTTGTGATGCTGCAGGCAGCTGGCACGACGGGAAAGGGGTTGATTATATGTATATACCCACCTTTTTTTCTTTTCTTTTTTTTTTTTTGTAATAAATGTTCCCCCTCAACTATACGTTGACACGCAGGCGCTATTGTCGTGTAATACCCGCGAAATCGCAAAATACGTTTTCGTTCCGGCTAGCGGTACTTGTAGAATTTTATCTTATTATTCAAAAAAGGTGTGTTAACGTAAAAATCACGTGATTTCGTTGTTGGTTTTGTGAGATAAAAACGAAGGAAATAAAAAAATCGGTTGACGAGTTTTGCGAAGACGATAAATTAAGTAACGTAAAGTAGAATCATTGAATGGGTTTGGGTTTCCATCATTCAACATACAATACTCCAACAAATATTAAAAGTAGCAGAACTATAATATTTCATTTAACGTAAGTCAAGCGTTTATTCGATTCATACTTCAATTAACAATTCAATTCAATTCTCAATAACCTTTTAATTCAGAATTTTTATATAACTGTTACATTTCTTATTAAAAAAAAAATATTGTAAGTGCAAAAAATTAAAAAATTAGTATTTCAATGAGTGCAACAGGATACTTACGTATAATTGATAAAAAAAAAAAAAAAATTTGAAGTGAGGTTTGAACCAAAAACGCAAAACAATAGGTGACGTGCGAGCTTTTAACTCTGACCACGCCACCGTCTATGTGTAGGATACGAGAAAGTTCAATAAGCTTAACTGGAACGTGTAGCCATATACTGCGTGTAGTGCCCGTTTCCGAAATTATCCCGTACGTTTTAGTGGGAAAGTACCCTGAACAGATTTGTTATTGAAATTAAACTTAACAGTAAGTTAATTATGGAATAATTTGCATGTTCCAGACTTCGATTTAAACACAGAAAATGCATGTTTCGAACACTTTCCTTCAAAAACATTATAGTGAGCTTTATTAAGGTATTAAAAACGTAATTAGTTGCACGTTTTATGTCTTCAAAATCTATAAGTTATGTATGCTTAAAGCACAAATTACTTTGAACACTATGATTGTTTAAATTACTGTTTTTTTTTTTTTCTATCGTTTATTAGTATTCTTAATTGAACTTTTTGTCCGAAAACGAGTCAAGGAGTTTTAGTTCTACTCGTATTTTAATGCATTATATTAGTAACAAGTAATTTCTTTTCTTACAACACCAGCATAATATGTTCTTGTAGTAATCGGAAAATTACATTTTTAACAGTAACACTTAAGTCTTTGTTTTGTTATTTGTTTAAGAGACTAGTTGTAATTCTTGCTGTTTAGGGGTAGTAACAACAATCGCTTAACGATATCACCGGCGTCTCCTGGAGTTTTCGTAAAATTCGTTGTATAAATCGTTCCAAACTCGTTATCCGGGGTTTCTTTAGGGTTACTGAACACAAATATTGCGACAAAAATCGTCCCCAGGGTACCTGGTGCCCAGAGTGAAACGTATCACCGTCGTCTCCTGGAGTTCTCAGGAAATTTATCAGATAATTGGTCCAAACTCATTGTTCGGGGTTTTTGGGATGACTGAACACACATATCACGACAGAATTCATCTTAAAGGTACCTGGTGCCAAGGGTGGAAGGTATTAACGTCGTCTCCTGGAATTTTCAAGAAATTCGTTTTATAATCGGTCCAGACTCATAGGGCGTTTTTGGGGTTACTGGATACAACTATGGCAAAAAAAGTTGTCCCCGAGGTACCTGGTGCCCAGGGCGAAAGGTACTAACGTCATCTCCTGGAGTTTTCAGAATATTCGTTCTATAATCGGTCCAGACTCATGGATAGGGGGTTTTTGGGGTTACTGAACCCGAATTTCGCAACAAAAGTTGTCCCCGAGGTACCTGGTGCCAAGGGTGAACATTGCATACCTCATCTCCTGGAGTTTTTAGAGAAATCTATTAACAATTGAAAACAATGTAGATTCTGATGGTGCAGTAGTAGACAAGTACCTACGAACCAACTGCAGTAGGCATTTGATGTATTGAGACAAGTTTCGCAAGTTTCGCTTATACGCGTACGTTGTGGTACATCGTATTAGCGATTCCACTGCTCATTGAGGGTGTTAAGGAGTACTTAGTACTGTAGGGAAGAGAGCTTAATATTTAATTCTATTGTGTGGGCCGATCCTTGCGGTACTGCAATGCATGGCCGACCCGTGGCAGGACCGGAGCAAGCCCCAGACGTCCCGCCTATTTTCAAAAATCAGTTCGATATTCTGGTCCCCCAATGGGGGACGTATCAGATATCAAGCTGATAAGAACAGATACTACACTTTGATCTTAGCCAAAAGGCCGAGAAGCGATGCTGAACGAATGTTTTTTGTCGACTTTATAAAGCTAGTTCTTGCATAACACTTGCGAGCAGTGCAAAATCGCTGCAGGCGAAGCGTAGCGGTGGACGTCGGCGGCTAGCGGCTCGGTCCTCTCCCATTCTGGCGCCTATATTCAAATGAAATTAACACCTCAGTACTCACATTCAACACTGTTACTACATACTTTACTTTAAAATGAAAATTTATATCGACAAAACACGAACTTGACGAAAAAAAATTTTTTTTTGCATTTGTTCGGTCAATTATCAATAAGAATACACAACAACGTGGCATTATCATCTGTTGCAGTATATTCTTATTATTTACTTACTACGCCAAACAATGAACACTTTATTTAAAATAAGATTTATTAATAAAAAGTACAAATTTTTCGAAATGTTTACTAATGCGATAAGCATAAGTGATTTTTCTTACATTCATTTACTGAACGGTTTTATTGTATATTCTAATTGTTTAAAGTATAATCTCATTGTTTACTTAATGCAGCAAACAATGTAAACTTTATATGAGATTTAATGATGGTAAACAAATTTTTACTAATGCGATAAACTTATGACCATAAGTGTTATTTCATATTCATACGTTGATCGGTTTTATTGTTCAAATATTTAAAGTGTATTATAAATGTTTACTTCTCACGTACAATATTCTAAACTTTAACTGGACCTATGAGTAAAAATTGTCATAGAAAATTGTTATTTGCGGCAAGATTATAGTACTTATCTACACACAAAAATCGACTCTCAATTCCCAATTGAATGTACCCATAAAAAAGTATACTGCCACAACTTTGTCAATCGTTATCCTACATAACAATAGTAATTTTTACCATGCATGGACCAAAGTTGCGGCAATGTTCAAATTTAATAAGGGGTGCAAAATTACCCTTTTTTCGTCAGAAATTGTGGAAATTACAACGCTTATCTAACTTTTAGTCTAATTTTAAGATAACCACACTGCCAATCATTAACGTAATCTATATTGTATTATTGTAAATCTGAATCATACAGACTAACAGACGTGTACAGCAATGGCTGTATGTGTTGGTACCTATACCTATATTATATTATACGTTTAATTATACGCAGCATGCAATGCATAGGTATGAGCATGACTCTAAAAACTAACGGAGGATTCTACCTATCTGAGCTGAGTTGGCAGTCTTGCCGGAGGTCTTGCGCGCAACGACGCGAACGAAGAGGCGGTGTGTGTGACAAACACTACCGATGTCGTTGCTTATGCTGCTCACGAAAATTACAAATCGAGCGTGTCATCGTCGTCTACATAACTTGCTCTTGCGTTTCGTGTAAATAATACCATAAGTTAAGTAATAAGTGCTGCTTGCTGCTTCGGCGATAACGTGCTTTACTGCTCTCCTCAGCAGCAGTAGCAAGCCATCCTCCCTTCGGTTGCACTAATTTTGCAACGCTATAACAAATACACAGGAGGCAACGATAAGCGGTAAACAGCAGCTTAATGAGAGATGAGCGGTCAAAAGTTCCAATATGACGAGAGCGGAGGCACTTTTTTCTACTTTCTGCTCTCTTTCTTGGCACTCTTACTCGTACCCGGTACCTTCTACCTTTGGCCACGTAGTCCCAAGCCAGGTTTGTCGCATCATTTTGACGTTTTAATTGTTTTTACCGTTACCATTGCTACAGTTAACAGATTTCCAGTAACAAATGTTGACTACTTTTTTACTACTACTTTGTTTAAAAAACGTATTGTTTTTGGGTCTTGTGTACTTGTTTACTTTTCAAATTGAAATATGAAAACAATAAGAGGTTGTGCTAATGTAATATTGTTTTGTAATTTGTAGATCCCGAAAAGGTGACGAAAGGGTGTAACTGCGATGGATGCAAAAAGAAAACTATTATACTCCAAAGGAGTGATCCTTGGAAAGAAACCAAATCTTTTATTTGGTATTGTGATACACATTCAATTGTGTTTTGATTTTTTTTTTTTTAAATAGTAAAAGAAATGACATTAACTAATGATAATTTTATTTTTAGGAAAATCACTATTATTGGTGGGTGGTTGTTGTTTGCTCTAATCACATATAAAGTCTCTCAGTTCGATTATGAGATGGCTAATTTTGATCCATATGAAATATTGGGCGTTACTCCGGTAAGTTACACTGTTTGTTTTATTTAAGTTTTCTAAAATTAACTGTTTTCTAAGTTTATACATTTAATAATGGTTTTTTTCATTGTTACTTCATTTTTTTTATGCTTTAGGGTTCTTCTGCTGTTGCAATTAAAAAAGCCTACAGACAGCTATCTTTGATTCTTCATCCTGATAAAGAGACTGGAAGCGAGAAAGAATTTATGAGATTAACCAAAGGTCATTATTTCAACTGCCAGTCTGTTTAAAATTTATTTTTTTCATATTACTGACTAAATGGTTTTCTGTTCATAGCTTACCAAGCTTTAACGGATAAAGAAGCAATGCAAAACTGGGAAAAGTATGGTAATCCAGATGGTCCAGGTGCTATGGGTTTTGGCATAGCATTACCATCATGGATCGTTGAAAAAGAAAATTCTATGTGGGTCTTAGGTGCCTATGCAGCTGTATTTATGTTGGCTTTGCCAATCGCAGTTGGAACATGGTGGTATAGAAGTATAAGATATACTGGAGATCAGGTAACAGATTAGTTTGTTTGCAAACTCAATGACCAATTTTACCTCATAAAATAATAATAGATAATTCAAACAAATACTTTTTTTTCAGGTCCTATTAGCTACAACCAGATTGTACTATGCCTTCTTCCATACAACTACCATGACCCTCAAAAGAATCATCATGATTCTAGGAGCCTCCCATGAGTTTGATAAAAGACATAATGCAGATATTGTTGAAAGGGTATCTGACAATATCGAATTACCTGCGGTAGGTCAATTATTGTGAATATTATCTTAATGTATACTCAATTGACGTCTCACGTTATTATTTTATACAGCTTATAAAGCAACTACCAAATTTAAGTGAGAAAAATAAGGAGTTTCCACTGTGCGCGGCGTATTCCGTCAGAGCAAGAGCCATAATTCATGCTCATTTGTCCCGTATTCCGCTTAATCCAGAGACGTTGGAGAAAGATAGACAATACATTATTAAGAAATGTCCCTACCTTATCTTAGAAATGATTTCTTGTTTAAATCATTTGATTGTTCTAGCTTACGCAAAACAAGGTAAGTAAATGTTATTAACATTTCAACATTGTAAATTTTAGTGTAGTGATTCTTCTAGAAAAACTTTTTAATTTTAGTACAACACTTGCCACCCATCACTACAATAGAAAAATGTATGAAACTGTCACCTATGATTGTGCAGGCTTTTTGGGAATTCAAAAACCCTTTATTGCAGCTACCTCACATTACTGAGGATCATCTCAAGTATTTTAAAGCTAAAAAAGTGAAAGTAATGAATTATCTACTCATTCATCTAATATTTCTTGATCTTATACAAAAATACATTTAAAAATTTCTTTTTAGGCGAAAACTCTTCAAGAATTCGCGCAGCTAAAAGGAGAAGAGCGGCGGTCGATCTTGAGGGGTTTATCAGACAGTGAATTCGAAGATGTGATGAAAGTTTTGGGAAATATGCCTTTTGTAGATTTCAAAGTGAGATCGGAAGGTGTGAAAATTATTTGTTTTTAAGCTTAGGTACTGATGTAGCACATATACCCATAAATATTAAAAATAACGTTTGTAATATTTTCAGTTATTGACGATGAAAATTCAAACGTATATACGGCAGGTGCTCTTGTCACTGTGACAGTGACCTTGACGCGCAAAAATATGTCGCATTTGTTTGGCGATGACTCGGTAAAAGAGAAGACAATCATCGAAGACGGTGAGAAAGACGCCGAGAAGGAAGAGGCAGACGAACGCAACCAGCCAGTTGCCAAGAGGCCTGCCTGGATGAAGCAGCGAAAAGCTGCACCAAAAAAATCGCACAGCAAGAAGGGTCCAGGTAAAAAAGTGGCCCCTCCACCTAAACCGACCAACTCAGCACCCAATGCCAAAGAAAACGGCCTATCAGCATCTAGTCAATTGCAGCAGAGCAGTTCGACGAGCAAGCCTAAGAAGGAGAAAAGGGAGGACAAAGGCTCGGACGAGAGCGACAGCGAGTCGAACAAGAGCTACAGCAGTGACGACGAGGACAGCTCGACGGAGAAAAGATCGTCCCAGCAGCAGGAGTCTGAAGGTGCTAACGAGGACGACGACAACGAGTGGAACAAGTTCCAACAACGGCTGTCGAAGCGCGACAGGCTGCTCGAGGGCCGCACCAACACCTCCCATATGGTGCACTGTCCCTACTTCCCGGAGGAAAAATATGAGTACTGGTGGGTGTATATCTGTGATCGCAAGAGCCATACTTTGCTTACCCCGATGGTACACGTGACTTCGCTCGTTGATACCGAGGAGTTCCAATTGCGCTTTACTGCCCCTATCTGGCCCAACCTCTACACATTCACAGTTTGTCTGAGGAGTGATTCTTATTTGGGCTTTGACCAGATGCATGATATTAAGGTACGACATTTAAAAATATTAATAATTAATGACAATGTCATTGCATACAACATCGTTTTTGTCTTGAATTGTAAAAAAATTATCCACACATTTTTATAATTTCATCGAAATTTTTGCAACAGTTGGATGTGAAAGAAGCCGCAGTCGTGCCGACAGATCATCCTCAATGGGAAATGTCCGACGAAGAGGAGGTCGAGGATGTCGACGCTGTCGACGAACATTCCGAATTTACGACTGACGAGGACATAAGTGATAACGAATAAACGAGTGCTCGTGTCCCTCATACCTACTATTAAACTAGATTCATGAATTCAAAGCACATCGAAAAGACGCGCGTGCTGGCCTGCGATCGCTTCTAAGCGTAGGATTATCAGATTATTTATACTTGAAACTCGTACGAGTTATAATATGACACCAACTTCGCGCTGATCTATTCGTAAGACTTGAAAAACTTAAAAGATGTACAAGATGTTTCTATGAGGGTGCGGGACAGCTCTGAATATTAAATGGGACAGCTTGAGGTAGCTCATACTATGGTCGATGTTTGTTTCTTTGATACTCAAACTATTATAAATACTCTTATTTAGTGTAAAAAATGATTATTTGTACACCGTTTTTTTGTTTCCATTATTTATTTTTAAAAAAAGTTGGTGCAACATGAAATATTGGAAGTACCGATTTTCACCCATAGATCTTATGAAAATGTTTCTTATAACTTACATATACTTTTTAACAATCATTTTCTCGTTATTTTTATACGATTCTGAATATTTTGATTTAGGTATGAGCCACCTTAGCTGAAGATAAGGAAGGACGCATTGAAAATTTTTTTTGAAATAAAGCTGCCGGTAGTGGAGTAGGTATTTTTATTTAAATAATTTTTCATTTTATATGTGTGTATAAAAGATTATAAGATATGGTGTGTGCATTTATAAAATAAAATGAGGCAACCTGTGTGAACTTTTTAGCTGGGATGTAACTAATGTGTATGATGAATCATAAGAAAAAACAAAATATATTTATTTTAAACATTGTTAATCGATTTATTGAACGTGTGAACCACTTTATAATGAATAACAAATGGAATTGTCCATATGTTTAAGTTTATATTGTCTAATACTATGAGAATAAATTTTTTCTAGTGCTCCTTTTATATCATCTTTTATTTTTTATATAATATCTGGTCTACAAAACTTTTACGAAAAATCCTCAAGTTTATAATATTAACGTTTATTTCAGTGATTACAGAGTGAGCAGATAGTAAAGCAATTATTCACTTCTATTTAAAAAATTAGTTTTTTAATAAATATGAACTGACAATAAATATATTTAATTGGTACTTGTTTCATCGTCAATTTCTTTTTTAACACTTTTCTTGAGAAAAAAAAAATGGCTTGAACTCTTTCTTGAGTCAAATAAGTGAAAGGCAATAGAATAGAATGTCCTTAAAAACGAGTCAAGCGTGGCATTTTTTGTGCTTTCATTTATTTGAGTAAAAAGCATCAAGTTCCACGTCCACTTTTAGTCTTGATCGTAACACACAGCAGTCAAGTATTTTATAAGATGAAGTTTTTATTTTTGTCATTATCTTACTACTTCGCCATTGCATTAATAATTAATGTTTCAAATTGTAAGTACATATTGCGCATTATTCACTGCTGTCATACATATAATTGAAAGAATTTATTTATAAAATAGCTAGCAGCCTCGATTGGAAAACAAGAATTGGAAATTTTGGTTTTAACGGTCCCGTTTATTCGTTTGTAAAAACAGACGAGCAAGCCAATATAAAATGGGGAGTGAGGCATTACATACCCAGAAGAAGCCATACATAAGATATAAATTTTGTAAAAAATTTTATTCAATGCATGTAAAAATATTTTTTAAAATATATTTTCGTTACACATAATTGCACAAATTACATCAGACTTCGGTTAATTTATCATACAACGTGAAATATATTATTTATATTATCAACAGTTTATAAAAATATTAATTTAACACAATGGAGTAGACCAACGTATGTTAATAATACATTTTAAAGTTGGAAAAGTTTAAAGTTCAAGTTTTTCAAAATCTGATTTTACTCTTGACCAATTTTCTTGACCACTCTTTAGATATTCATTGAACCTAAAATTCCAAATTCACTTAATATTCAAAAGGACTTTATAAATTTTTAATTAAAAAAAATATCTATGTTACTAATTTTAACTTACAGGGATAGCAGAACAATATTATCTTTGATTTCAGTATCATCATTTTTAACTAGGCTTTGACTCTTTTGATTATCATTATCAAGTATCACACTATCAGATGCCGTTGTAGTAAGTAGTTCTGATAATTTTTTTTTATATGAAGGGAGTAACTCTGTGCCTGCTTCGATCCCCTTCATATAAGAATGAAAACTTTTCTCAAATCGATGTAAGTCCCTATAAAAATTTCGATAGAAAATATTTTTTGTTCCATCAAGTATCGATATGTTAAATACACACCTTAAAAATGTTACTGTTTCTTCATCTTTTAATAGCTTTTCTTTTTCTTCATCGAATTGTCCATATCTTTCTTGTAATGAATCAATTTGGAGTTGTATGTACTCATGAGAGCACAATCTCTTTGTTTCAAATTCACTGAATATACTTAAAAAGTACTCGTACCTAATAGCAAAAGAGATATTAGGATAGTGAAAAAATCATTGTCATATATGAATCAAAAAATTATTACATTACGTTGTTTCATATTTTTTTAAATTTTTTAACAATTTTTCACTGCTAAAAAAATTTCTAAATTTACCATCAAAACCGTCAATATCACTTTTTATCTTATTAAAAGCCTTATAAAGATTCTCAATTTTATTCATTAAATCAACCAAGGATTTTTTCACGTTAGAAGATTCGTGACTTTTTAATGTTTCTTTTACTTGATTTAGTAGTGATTCTACATCTGCTAAACCCTTTAGAAGAATTTGATAAAATTTTTTTATTTGTACTTGGATAATATCACTAAAACAAAATACATAAATTTTTACAAATGTACATTATACCAGTCTTCCAAAGTTTTGCTATAAACTACATACTATTTTGTGCCTAAAGCAAAAATGTACTGTTTAAATAAATTAACTTCGTATCTCATGATATAAATCAATGATGTGTAGCATTGTCTTAATAATACTTTTTCTTTAATTTCGTCTGGATTCATTAACATGACATTAATTATACTAGGCATTTTCCAATCACAGTCAAACTTAGTTACTTCCAAACTTTCGTTGTTATATACATATAATATTGAATTCGGGATATCTTGAAATAATAAGGTACCAGATTTACTTTTTGTAGAAAGTATTTTACCATGAGTATTTGCAATAACTTGTTCATTAACAGGAATTTTAGTTTTTTGTTCTATCCACTGTTGTAACTCAACTAATTTAACATTACTGTTGATATTGTACCTATCAACTCTGTATAGATTTACAGAAAATATGTGTATAGTCTGAAATAATAAAATGAACTAAATTGCCTTAAATTTGCGCACTTACAAATCGATTGAAGGTTTGAAAAAAAATTCAACTATTTCAAATTATACCATTTTTGGGAATACTTCCTTCAACACAGTGAAAAACACATTTTCAGCAGAACCCGGACGTTTCCCTCTTTTTTTCGGATTCCACTGTAAAGAAATTTTGAACCATTCGACCAATTTGTTTAATATGTAGCTGTAACGATTCGTTAAATAGTACCATATTTTCAAAGATAAATCATTGAAAAATTTAACTTACTCTGATAGATCATTGGCATGAATTAGATTATCATACAATATTATTTTCCCATCAATTTCTTGTGCCCAAATGTCATCGTATCTTTTACTTTCCAAAGCATGAAGCCTAGAAAACGGCATCATTATTTCAGTAAAAGTAAGTCTCCATATGTTTGAATATCTTACCACTTGAATAAATTTTGTTTTTGAGGAATAAATGGTTTATAACCAGTTAAAACTTCGAAAAATAAAATTCCCATACTCCAATAATCAATTGAACTTGTATATTTGTTGCTCAAAAATAACTCTGGAGCAGCATAATTAAATGTTCCTACTAGCGATGCTGTTGCCGTTTTGTTTCCCAGTTCCTTAGCAAATCCAAGATCAATCAGTTTGTAAATTATCTGGAAATAGTAATTTTTATACATATGCAACTAAAAAGTGTGATTAGTATAGTTCTAAATTGACGTTTGATTAATTAACCATATTATTTTTTTCATGAAGTACAACATTTTCAGGTTTTAAATCTCTATGAGTTATACTATTGTAGTGTAAATACTTGAGAGCTGAAGAAATATCCTTCATAACTGATAGTACTTCCTTTTCTACTAATCCACATGCATTGCCTGGTTCGTTGATTAACTATTTATTGACAAATAATTTAACATAATATATGTGTAAATTGAAGATTGTGAACACTAAAGTAACATGAACTAAAAAAAACCTTTCTTAAATTGCCTTTGTTGCAAAACTCCATACACAACACTGAAGATTCAAAAGATATTACATCAGGTAGTGGAATAGCTTTAACAATGTTTGGATGTTGAAAATTTTGCATCATGAATATTTCATTTTTCCACCTCATTGCTTGTTTTGGAGTTATATCATCGTCTGGTAACATACATCTTTTTATGGCTGAAAATACCAGTTTAACATATATTTTTCATGCATGTGTGAAAGAAACTAAAAACAATTTTATTTTTAATGTGAACCAACCAATTTTTTTATCCGTAAATTTTTCTTTCCACAGTTCAACCTGTCCAAAACCTCCAGAGCCTAAAACTCGATCATAAACCCAATTTCCAAAGCTTTTTGTTACCATCTTTTACTTCAAAAATAATTATCAACTTAGTGAAAGTGAAGTTTAATAGGATAAAAAATATCAATATTATTAACTGTAAGAAAATTAGATAGATCCATGGAACATTAAGCTACCACTTGATGTATATGGCTCATATGTATTAATGTATAAGCTTTTTTTGGACAGTTCTGGATCAACTTGGAGATTTTTCAGAACTGCGATAAATTACGAATAAGAATATATAATCACTGGAAAGAAATCGTGCAACAATCTTTTTTATACTTACTATATGTATTTGTTAAAACAAAAAAAATCTTATCTTACGTTACGTTAAAATCCATCTATCGTTTTAAGATTCTTCATACTCACACCTATCTAATATTAATTTTATAAATGATACATAATTAAACTCAAATCGAGTTCTTTAGTTTCAAAGAGTCTCTCGCAAAGTGATTAGTTAGTTATTTTTTTATAGAATTAAGTATTCACCTCGAGTTGTGAATTAAATTTAACGAATAACTGTAATATTAATGACAAAAAATTATTTAATAATAATATAAAAGGGAATCAAAGCTTCAGGCGTCAATTCCAAAAATCTTACGCGATTCCGATTAGAATAGGTATAGGTACGTGCAATACCGATCGAATGTGCGGATAAAATCATCACTATATATCATCACGATATAATATCGATCTGTCGATCTGTGAAGAAAAAAAAAAGAGGAGAGAAGAGAAATCAACGGCGGCGTGTCGTCATATAGACGTTGAAAGATAGATATACGCCGTACAAATAATGGCGGGAGTGCTCCGGTGCTGTGGTGCGTGGAACATCGAAAGCGTCATATCATTTCTAGTAAGTGCACAAGTCCATTAAAAAAACAAAACTCGATCTCTGTAAAAAAACAATTGAGACACAATTTTGGAAAATTGTGCAGATCGTGGCCGACGGTCAGCTATGCGACAAGTTGTTCGAGGTCCTGCAGAAGACGTACCAGAGCAGGGGCTACCGGATCGCTGTGCACAAATGCGAGAACATTGCCGATATTTTACGGACTAAACCTGATCTTCACGTCGATTTTGTTGTTTTCCCATTTGACAGTCGAATCAGCAAACAAGTCGACGAGGTGAGTTAGTCTCGAGGAATATTTGAAAATTGAAAGTGCAAAACGGGCGTCGATAGGTTATGTTTACTTACAAGTAAAAGTGTGTGCATGGGTGGTGGATTCAAGAAAGGACTTTTTTCAAGATTTTTTTTGTTTTTCATTTCAGGTCGAGAGCAATATTTGGCTGTTGGATGAGTTTTTCGTTGTCTCGGGACGCGTTTGTCTGGTCAACTGTTATGGTTCGCCAAATACAATGGGGCTCATGTGCCATTCTGCCAATAAGTTGAAAGATAAGTACCGCCTGCGATTGTTGTCGGCTAATGTTTACGTAAGTTTCTAAACAATCATTATTTTCTTTAACTAGGGCGTAAAGTGCAATTGCCGTTTTTCGCCCTTGGGACACACTTGGGAGCATCCTTGTAATCACTTTGTATTCACGGGCAGAAAAGTAAATTTTAGACTCCATAAGTTTGTTCTTTGCGCCCTAGGGACCTAATGTATTATTTTTCATTTAGGCATTAAGAAATGAATGTATTTTTCAGAATCCTGAAGGACTTCAAAGCTTGGGAAACAGAATTCTAAATCTAGCTGAAGCATTATTGGGTGTGCACAGTGGAGTTCCAGACTTGAACATGCTGACAGTACTTTGAGTTGTATTGTGAATAAATATTTCTTCAATGATGAAGAGAAGTGTGTCAAAGGCGTTTACCAGCTATGCCTCCAGTCAAGAGGACAGTGAGAATGAGAGTGATGAGACTGAGTGTAGTATAGGAAGCAATTCTACCGTGGGTACGCAACGCAGCGACACTCCCACGGGTAAGGCCCGCTACAAACGGAAAGGTCGCCGCAGGAGTCGGACGACCAAGGCCAAGCAGAGCAATGACAAGTCTTTATACAAATACTGCTGTAGTGTTAAGGAGGATCATGGTATGCCATTGTTTGGTGTACAATTTAACCACCACCTCAAAGAGGGTGAACCAATGGTATTTGCCTCGGTGGGCAGCAACCGCGTGAGTATCTACGAATGCCCCGAGGGTGGCAGTATAAGACTGAGACAGTGCTACGCGGATCCAGACACCGAGGAAAACTTTTACACGTGTGCCTGGACGTACGATGACTCGGGCAAACCCCTGCTCGCGGTTGCTGGCGCCCGTGGTGTCGTTCGCGTTCTTAGCCCTGTAACCATGACTTGCATCAAGCACTACATTGGTCACGGACATGCTATTAACGAGCTCAAAGTACACCCGCGTGATCCCAATATTCTGCTCTCAGCGTCAAAAGATCATGCGCTTCGTCTCTGGAATATCAAGACTGACGTATGTATCGCGATATTCGGTGGTGTCGAAGGTCACAGAGACGAGGTCCTCAGTGCTGACTTTGACATGAAGGGCACACGCATCATCTCTTGTGGTATGGATCACGCGCTCAAACTCTGGAATCTCGATAAATCTGACATGCAAGAGGCAATCAAGCAGTCTTACTTTTGTAATCCGACCCGCAATGGCCGACCCTTCGACTCCGTGCTGCAGCACTTCCCTGACTTTACGACCCGTGACGTACATCGTAACTACGTCGATTGTGTCAAGTGGTTTGGTGACTTTATCCTCAGCAAAAGCTGTGAGAACTGTATCGTCTGCTGGAAACCCGGGCGTTTGGAAAATACGCAGTTACGAAACAACGAGACCAGTGCTACAGTACTACACCGCTTCGAATTTAAAGAATGCGACATCTGGTTCATACGATTTTCAATGGATTTTTGGCAAAAAACAATGGCCCTTGGCAATCAGGTAGGCCGCACTTACGTCTGGGATTTAGACGTAGCCGAACCTGGACAGGCAAGGTGTTTCTCTCTCCAGCATCCGCGCTGCAATGCACCGATTCGACAGACTAGTTTGAGTCGTGATGGCTCGGTACTCCTATGCGTTTGCGACGATGCTACTATTTGGAGATGGAACCGCGATGGCCACTGACGTTTTTCCAAAACTCAATCTAGGTGTTTAAGTGATAGCGAGAGTGATTTGGATGTTTAGTTCTAATTTTTTTTTATCTCAAACAAACAATTTTTTACCGAACAATAAATTAGAGAAACCAGAAAAGGTTATTCGCTATGTGTAAACGGTTCTTACCGTGAAATTGTAAAAAAAACTGAAGACATCGATAACTTCATCGAAAGCGTCGAAAATGTAGAAAAAAATAAACTAATTTATAATTTACTAATATCTGTTAAGTTTTGCTTAAGCGTTACAAGCTGTAGCCTCAAGTACATTTCTATCTATTGTCGAGTAATGCAGTTTTATTCTTTCAAACCAAATTTGATAGATTTAGCTATAGTTTTTACATAAATTATTACTATTTTGTGGTAGTACCCAGTTGTCCAGCAAACACTATACTTAAACAGCTCTCATGCTCTTCATCCGCAAGTTATTCATTACAACCTTTACTATTATATTTTAGTGCTTTGCAAAAGCATTAAGACAATTGACACAATTGTAAATTGGTCCTCAGAAAATGATTTATCACCGAAAGTAAAGAAATGTAAAATCTATTCATTTAGTAATCAGAACAATTCTTATGATTTTTCAATTAAAAAATTTGTGACTATTATGTTACTAGCATTAAAGACTTAAATTGGAGTAACTTGAGCACTCTTTGTATGATATACATGTTCAATATACAGTTTCTAAAAGCATATTAAACCTTTGGTTCCTTTGTATCTTCATAAAATCTACTGAATCTGTGAACCTTCTAATTATTATTGTTTACCTACACAAGTTACTAGTCTTACCCTTACTGTTACATGCTTCGCCTATCTCGTTATTGGTAGCTAGTGTACCACAGACTTGAATTACTTATTTCCAAATATTTTTGAGCATACATAAAAGTTTATTCCTTGCTTTGAAGTGTCGCCAACTATCCCATTATCATAATTAACTGTAAGTTGATTTTATTCACCGAATCTAGTTTGTAACTTGTCCTGGTAATATTTATTTTTTATGTATTTCATTTTTACTTACGTGCAACCAGCACACAGTTGGGGTCATTCCCATTTTTTTAATACATAAATGAGTAAATAAATCATAATAAACCTTGAAAATCATACAAACAATGTACGATTTATTCGAGCTATCGTTAATTATTTCTCTTATTTCTCTTTTTATGAATAAACGGTTTTTTAATGATGATAAGTATGTACTTACATAATTTAATATTTGTGGAACTTATTACAAGGGCTGAGATTCAAAGCGTTTTTTAAACGTTTCTTACACAACATGAATAAACTACGTTTAAGACGCGCGTATAAAACTATAGTTATGTATTGTATTGTTCAGTTTACCGCACGTGCCCCATGCATTCTTGACAAAGCAGACAACATCAGGTCAATAACAAAGTCTCAAAAAAAAGGTTCATTTGACTTTGACAAGTTTTTATTTCATTTCTGTCATATAGTCTGTGTTAAGTTTTAATAGCAGCGTTTAAAAAAAATTATTAGTGAACGTTCTCGCCGTTCTAAGTAGTCGGTATAGTGTCGTCTTGTCTTGACTTGTTTGTTCATGAAAGTATATAGCAGGTTCAATGTGTGGTTTTGGTCTTGCAAATGAAAGAAGTCACGTAATTCAGTAAAAATTTTGATGATTTTGGTGCGACATACGTAACTGATATGAACATGGATGTTGACAAGCAAAATGCAAACAAAATCGAAGGCAATGAAATCAGCGAGGTTTGTGATATTAGCATGACACATTCGTGTTTATATTATATTTAGTTATTTTCGTTGCTTGTTTATATTGCTTTTGTATTACGCTTATTTGCAGATTATTTCTGTGCAAACTGAAGCCAGTATTTTGCAAAAAGCTTCAGAAGAAATACAAAAATTAGTTGAGAGTTCAAATTCGGCAAATGGTTGTTGTCCAGCCACAGAAAAAGACAACAAAAGTGAAACCAATGACACGGAATCTCATAGTATTCTTAAGGCCAGACTTGAAAGCCAAGTGCGTACTGGAGAAATTACGCCCTTTCAAGCAGAAAAACAACAAAAGGATTCCAAAAATACTTTGGGGTAATAATTAATTTTTTATTATGCTACTTATTGTTTTGAAGCATTTTTAAAAACGCTTATTTTTTCAACTGCAGAAAAACCTCGAATGAACCACCTAAGGTTTGGGATCTGGAGAAATATTTGAGACAACAAGCGGAATTTGCAAAACAAAAAAAGCTCTTGAAAAAGAAAAAAGCTTCCGATGTTAAAGGTAAAAATGCGGTACCTGCAAAAAAAATGAAAATGACAGAATCCAAATTTGGCAACGAAAAGATTAATGAATCGAAAAAATTGAAAAAACTTAAAATAAAGTCAAAAGAAAAACTTCCGGAATCGAAAATTGATATTTCAAAAAATTCAAATGAACCATGTAATAATAATAATTCCACGCAGATAAATGAAAAATGCTTGGATGATGTTGATAGGCCTAGTGAAAGCAATGTCAAAACAAGTAACACCAAAAGGGCAGCACACAAATTACCAAAGAATCCAAGCTCAGAAGAAGAATATAGTGAGTCTGGTAGTGAGTATGTTCCTAGTGATGATTATGACTCGGAAGAGGAAGCAGAAGGTATTATGAAAAAAAGAGAGAAAAAACGAAAAAACTGTGACCCCAAATTGAGTATCAATGGAAAAATAAAAAGAGGTAAGAATTAATGTTGAAAATTTTAAATTATTATATAAATGATGTGATATTTTTATTTTAGTTTTGGATGATGGCGATGACGACATGTACATGCAGAGGGTGAAAGAAAGTGGATGCAAAAAAAATGAACCTCTACATAAAGTCGATAATTTATTTAAAGTTCCACAACGTATATGGAAACATCTCTTTAAGTAATTTTGTTTTTATTATTATCCAGCATAAAATTAAAAACTCAGTTTCCGTTAACATAAAAAATTTCATCCAATTCCAGATACCAAAAAGTTTCAGTTAGATGGCTTTGGGAGCTACACTCTCGAAACTTGGGCGGTCTGTTGGGGGATGAGATGGGATTGGGTAAGACAGTTCAGTTAATTGCATTTCTAGCTGGATTAGACTGCAGTGATTTATTGACTGATGGGGGAAGGTATACTAGTTGTTAAAGTAATAAGTAACATATATGTGTTTGTACTGACATTTATAAAAAATATTATCACTTTTATCTTTTGTTAACAGATTTAGAGGTCTGGGACCAACACTTATTATTTGTCCCGCAACTTTGCTGGAACAGTGGGTACAACACTTTCATGAATGGTGGCCCACTTTCAGAGTTGTAATGTTGCACCATTCCAGTACTTTTGTAGGTAATAAAATAATTTAATTTTTATGTAAAAGCATAGTAACTATTAATTAAAAATATTATGAATTATTCGTAATATGCAATTACAGGGGATATAGAAGACTTGCTCCAGAGTTTAAAAGTTGGTGGGATATTGGTTACTTCTTATTCAGGAGTGCTAATACACAAAGAGTTGATAGTAAAGTTCAAATGGCACTACGTTATTTTAGATGAAGGGCATAAGATTCGTAACCCTGAAGCTAAAGTAGGTTTATTATTAAACTTTTTTTTTATTTCAATAACTGATGAGAAACACATTTGTAGGTAACCAAAGTTGTTAAAAAATTTTTAACACCACATCGAATACTTTTAACGGGTAGCCCTATGCAAAATTCATTAAAGGAATTGTGGTCTCTGTTTGACTTTATTTTGCCGGGTAAACTTGGCACATTACCTGTATTTATGGAACATTGCGCTGGTCCAATAACAAGAGGCGGATACGCTAATGCTAGTCGATTGCAAGAAGCTACTGCCTTACAAGTCGCGACGATGTTAAAAAATGCAATAACGCCATACATGCTTAGACGGACAAAGTATGACGTTCAGCATCACGTCCAGTTGCCCGATAAAAACGAACAAGTAATAATTTTTTTTTTTTATTTAAATAATCCTTAATATTGAAGATTTCAATCATTTCACGAAGAAAAAAAAAAAATTTCAGGTATTATTTTGTAGTTTAACAGAAGAGCAAAAACAACTTTATAGTCAATATTTAAGATCTGATGATGTATCCTATGTTCTACACGAAAGACGCGAAGGCGGGATGTACAGAGCAAGACTTTTAGTTGCTCTCACTGCGTTACGTAAAATTTGCAATCATCCCGATTTATTTTTGTATTCTGATCAAAGAGTAAGGATTGTATTCAGTGTTTTCTGGTATCAATCATTACTTAATTATGTTGTTTTGATAAAAAAATTTTTAAACTATTCGCCAGCAAACATTTGAAGAAGAAGAAGAAGAAGCAGATCTCGAAATTGATGAAAGTGAGATGAATAAATTTGGCCACTGGAAAAGAGCCGGAAAAATGACTGTAGTTCGCTCTCTATTGAAGATCTGGAAAAAACAAGGACATAGAGTTTTATTGTTTACTCAAAGTAGATTGGTACGGTGTATTTGTGATAAAAATTATACACACAAAATTGACTAAAAATGTATTTACAGATGATGCACGTACTGGAAGGTTTGGTACAAAAAGAAAAGTATACATACTTAAGAATGGATGGTACAACTCCTATGGGTCAACGACAATTAACGATTTCCAAGTTTAACGCAGTAAGTTTTAGAAAACCACAACACTTAATTCTTCAAGAATAATAAAAAATTTTTAAATAAAATTTTTGTAGGATCCTTCTTTTTTCGTATTTTTATTAACAACAAGGGTGGGTGGACTAGGAGTCAACTTAACTGGAGCAGATAGAGTAATAATTTACGATCCGGATTGGAATCCAGCAACCGATGCTCAAGCGAGGGAGCGCGCTTGGAGAATCGGTCAAGATAAAAACGTGACCGTCTACCGACTGATTACAGCGGGAACTATTGAGGAAAAGGTTACATTATTATTTAAAATGTTTTTTACGATTTGTATAAGTTTCCCTTGTACTGATAATTAATAAGATTTGAAAATTGCAGATTTACCACAGACAAGTGTTCAAAATACTTCTTTCAAACAAAGTCTTAGAAGATCCTCGTCAACGCCGACTTTTCCACACTACAGATTTGACTGAACTATTTAATTTGAACAGTTTAATTAGTGGAAATAGTGAATCTGATGATTTGTTTCGTGATTCTAAGTTGACACCTGGACAGCCTAATTTTACCCAAAGTAAAATTCAAGCTATGAAAAAACTAGCCTCTACTCTTAGCAAAAAAATTGGCGAAGCAGCGATCGCTCAAGAAGACAGTAATGTTGACATTCAAATTTTGGATAAAAATACCGATACGAAAAAATTTAAAACCAAAAAAAATAAAGAGCCAAATTGTGTTAGCGAAAAGAATGAAAAAAAAAAATCAGTCCAAAAAAGTAAAAAGAAAAATAAAGAACTCGTGTATGTTGATGGAGATAAAGGGCACAATGATCCTCCTATGGCTAAAATAAAAGAAAAAGAGGTCGAAATTAATTTTGATAAGTCTCAGACCAAAACGACAGTGAATCAAGTGGAGACGTCAGAATCAACAAAAACTGACCAAAATAAATGCGAAGAGAGTGAAATTCTTGCTACGTATGTAGAATCATCAGCAACGCGGAACGTAAATAATGACGATAACGATACTAGTAATTCTGAGAAGAAATTTGGAAATGATATAAAACGTAAATCTTCTAAAAAGCACAAGCATAAGAAAAATAAGAAAAATAAATCTCAGAAGGATACAGTTTCGGCATTGTTTGAAGGAGAAAGCGTTTCTTGTTTAATTGGTCGTCGACTGGGTAATAGATCAAACGAGACAGAATCCGTTACAAATTCAGACGACCAATATGTTTTATCAAAGTTATTTTCTAAAGCAGGTGAGTTTTTAATCTTTGCAAAAAATAAATTTAAGACTAACTAAATTTATGTTTTTTAGTGGTCAGTTCTGCATTTCAACACGAATCAGTATTATCTAACGCGGTTCTCAACCCTGAAGATGAAACCCCACTGCATAGAGCTGCTAAAGAGAGTGCTGCCGAGAAAATGGATAGTATCAGGCAGTCACGAAAGTGGTGTTGGATGCCTAGTTGGGATAATCCGCCAGAAGAAGAGGAACATTATGACGACAGTGATAGCAGTGATTAACAATAATTTATTATGTTGCGTTCTTTGTATATACATGTACAAAAATCCTTCAAAATATTTTTATACAAACTTTTTACTTAATCTCTATTTTCAGTGATTTTTCTATGACTCTGATTAAAAAAGGAAAAAAAAAAAGTTTGTTTCATTCACGGAAAAAAAAATCCACTCGCCAATGAATAATTTAACACATTTACAGCACAAGAGAACCGTAATAAAATTAATGACAGTTATTTGAAGCTTTAAATTCATCTGAATTTTTTTTCACTGTCAATCATTTTTAATTAAATTTGTTATTTTCATAGGATACTGCATTTACTTTGAACATTATTTTGTATATAATATTTGTTTTATATAAAAAAATAATCATATTTACAGGTGGTAACAGATCCGTAGATATATTTTTTTGTTTGTTAAAAGAGCAACTTCTTCAAAAAGATTTAGTTAAATTTTTGCAAAATTTGTAACTAACTTTTTATATTCATATAATGCAAACACGAATAATGTACAAACTCTCGTACATAATCTGTTTCAGTGTCTCAAAAAGTTAGCTAACGTAGGTCCATTCCTTCCCAATGGGTCTTCAGGAAACATAACGTAGTCGCCTACAAATGTAGGCACAAGCAGTCTGTTTTCTATAATATCTCTGTACTGGGGCTTTTCTGCATACAAATCTCTAAATTGATCTTGAGATACAACTATCCCACCACATGTTAAAGCATATTCCAAAATATACCTATTTTTCCAATGAAAACATTTTACAATAAAATTATTAATATTTAATATGAATTAATAACACAACCTGATGAAAATTACCTATCGTCATACGGTGTGAAAGATTTATTGCCAATTTTTCTACTTGGCGTAAAAACAACCGTACCATCTTTATACCATTCTTCTAAAAGTGGGCAATTACGCGATCGTCTGTGTTGAGGAATGAAAACTTTGACAACATGACCTTTTTTGGCGAAATAGTCAATTGTTAGTTTTATTCCTTTTTCAGAGAAAAACTTGCTCTGAGTGTATCTGTTTCATTAAAATTTGGGTTTGTATTACCAATAAGAATGATATAATCATTATTCTTTGTAATAATTTTAAATAATATAAAAGTACTCACGCCATGCCAATATTACTGCCATCAATGACAATTTCTCGAAGTTTACCTTTTTTAGATTTCTTTTTTGTTTCAGCTTCCCCGTCATCTTTAGAGTGTGATATAAAGATTAGATCTTCATTAACTTTGGCTTTACGCTTCATCGTTTTAGTTTTATCTTTTTTGATAATGAACTTTTCTTCTCCATCTTTTCTAGATTTCTCAGCAATCTTTGCAGCTTGTGCTGCAGATTTTGCAGTATTATTAGCTATGGCCTTTGTCTTTTCAAGCATATATTTTAAGGGAGACTTTTTGGCACCTCTCATGATTTTAGGAGATTTCATAAATTTTTTTTTCGGTTTGTTATTTTCATTGTTTAAAAACATGTAGTTAGACACATTAGGTGATGTATCAATTAAAATTTTGTCTTGTTTTAAAATATCTGCGTTACTATCAAATGAACACTGAGGTTTACACGTAGGTTCAGTTGATTTTCTGGACTCTGGTAAAGATGACCACACCACCAAGCAATCTTCGCTCATTTTAGTTGAGTGTTCCAACACTGGTTCTTTTTCTTCTGTTTCGTCTTCTTCTTCTTTTTTAAGAAAACAATTTACACAATCAAATGAACAATTGACTAGGAAAAAGTTGTAAATTTAAAACAAATGACTTTACCTTGAGGTTCATCATCTGGATCCAATATTATTATAGATTCTGTTTCCACAGGTTGATTAGGTTGATTATTTGTACTTTGACTAAATTTATTGTGGTAAGATTCCATTTCCATAAGAAATGAATCACTTTCCTGAACAACCACAACATCTTTAAGATTTGTCACTGCGTCTGAACGAGACAGTTGCGTTACATTTGGAGTAGTACATGAACTGTCACTTATTTCTTGTATTGAGAATTCATTTAAATGTTTACTAGAACTAGGTTCTGGAACTGGTTCGTTTGCATCAGTATTCTGTGTCGATTTGTGTAACAACGATTTTTCTGGTGACTTTTCACTATCTGAATCGTCAACAAATATCACACTATCTATTGTTTCGTCAGGATCTCTAATTCTTGATAACAGACTTTTGTTGAATTTCTTTTTCTTTAAACAATTTGGCTTTTCACCTGATAGTATCCTTGTAAGTAAGCTTTTTTTTTTTCTGAAAGTTCAAAATTTTTAAATGTAAGCTAAGTGAATGCAATAAATTTTGGTAAAATTAAAAAAAAAATTGAGAGTTACTTTGTTTTTACTGCCTTATCTTGTTGACAATCCTGCACAGAGTTGTCACTCATATCCTCATCTTCTTCTTTTTCACCATCACCCACAACCTCTTGTTTTTCATCTTTTTTGACTTCAGAACATAAAAAATCAAATGTCAAATCAGAGAAACTCACTTCATCATCTGAATTTTCCTTGTCAACCTCGTGTGAAGGTTTCTCTTTGGCATCCTCTTTGACAACTTCTTGATTAAGTGAGATTGTTGAGGTTGACGAACTTGATGGTGAGCTTATGAGACTGTCAATCAGCATAACAAAGTAATTTTAAGCTATGCCACATCATCAATGACTTAAACAAAATTACAGTTGCCTACCCATTGTGAGAAATATGTCTCAGAGGACTGTCATAACTTGCCAGAGGATGAACAGTTTTGGTTACATTTCTGGCACTCCTGCGCAAAACCTTGTTTGTGGGACTCTTTTGTACAAATGCTTTGCCATAAGCAGAACTCTTTTTGGATCTTCTTTGTCCCATTGCACTTTTTTGATTAGAACAAAACAGAACTACTCTGACATATAATATAATGCACAATGTTATTAAAAAATCAGATTTTGTAGAAACTTTTAAAGTAACCTATGTGACCAATAAATGTTGATACATGGGTTAATTTCGTTCCCTTTTTTGCAACTGAAAGCATCCAACAAGTGATGCAGAAGGAAAATTAAATACTAGGAAAAGAAAAATTCATACGTTGAATTCTCACGAGATAAAAACACTTGAGTGCTTCTTCTGCGATATTATGAGTTCATACCCTACCTGCTTTTGTAACAATGAATAATTTGGAGTGCACGACGTATGGGGACTTGAGGACTGTCGGGAATTGGGCATTTGGACATAGCATACAGGTATGGGAATGGGAGTGAGATCGCAGTGGTGAAAGCACGTGAAAGAATGAAAAAATACTCGCATGTTGTCAGTATGGGAGTTGAGGGTTTAGGTAGAATTTACTTACCTGGTAGATCGCATACAAGAGAAAGGAATTTTTCTCTAAGTTCTTTAAGCAACAAATATCTGTGCAATTATAATTATTCAGCATTAGCATGGATATATATGTAACAGTGAAACGGCACAGGAGTCTAGGAAAAGACTCAACAAGGCAACAAAACTCTTACTTTTATGATAAACGTTGATTTGGTTGGGACTTGTTTTTGACGACGATGATGCATTATAACTATAACCATCAGAAAAACATGGCGGCCACGAGGTCACAATATTACGTGTGTTCGGCGTAGCGACTCGGAGTTCGGAACACCCCGGACCCCCAGACTCCCCAGAGACATTCTCTCGTGCTATAGAAAAAAATTAGTACTTTCTCATGATATTTGTAATAAGTACCTATTAGTTAGTACACCATAAGTATGGTATAAAAAACAAAAGAAAACATACATGTCTACGTATAGGTAGAACGTAGTACCCTAGTACCATCAATTAGAAGGGAGATTGCCAGCGCCTATGGTAGAGAGTGTGTCGCTTTTTTTCCACTGTTTTGAGCGCCCCGTCGCGGCAAATCAGCCGAACTATACGCACGTTTCAGCAGCGGAGGAGAAGACCAAATTGTGCGTACGATAGGTACCTAGTAGAGGGGGAAGGAATATGTGCGTATACACGGGTATAGCTATATATGTTTTGTATTCTAGCTGCCTCGGCTCTCGGCTCCCGGCTCTCGCAGCTCGCAGCTCTCGCATGCATGCGTATACCTATATCTATTCCTGATGTGATGTTCCCTCAAAAGCGGTTTTGAATGTTGGACAGTTATTATATGTCCGGTCATATATTATTCATTAAATGTGTATTAAATACTTGTACAGCTAAATACTGAGTTTTCCTCGTATAAAATAAAAAATTGAGTAATAAAAACGTAAGCCCCGATATTTAATGTAACTTCTTGAAACTTGATCTCTATAAAATAATCATTTTTACAACTTGAATAATTTATGTTTTTATAGATTTATAAAAATTTAGCACATTAAAAATATCAGAATAATACACACACGCTTCACTTTGATTTTTAAGTTTATTCAATAGAGAATGACTTTTTCTGTAATTAAAATATCATTCTTCAACACATGTAACTTTTCTAATAAGAATAAGTAATTGTGAAAATATTTAGAAAAATAATTCTACTTGTAGGCCAAACTTTAACACAATTATCAATATAAAGAAAAAATAAACTAATACTTAAGCTTAAACCCTGGAGCTTCACGATAAACATGTGTCACTGTAAGTGCTAAAGAAAAGAGTGCGTTGGTAGTCAAGGTAACTAAGTACCGCATTGTGTAATTTTGCTTTGAGCATTCTGGGGTTCAAATCTCGCTCGCAGCAGAATTTTTTTTTTTTTACGATTTTTTTTTATGGTAGTACAAAACTTTTTTTTGATAATAGTATTTAATTCTCATGTTTATGTTGCTTACCGACTACGCTTTGTAAATTCATTCCTTGTAAAGTTGGGTGATTTTGTTAGATATTTAAATTTTTTAATAAAAATATAATATCATTAGTGGGGAAAATGCTAATTACCATTTCATCCTTTTTTAGATGGCTATAAAACTATTATTGATGAAGTTAAAAATCAACCAAAAGTAATTTAATAGTACTAAGTTATTTTACACTATTCTAACAAAATGGTTATGATCTCACTTCGATGAGGATCACACCTTTTACAACCCAATTAATAATTGTGTTAAACTTATTCAAACAATTAATTAAACTATTAGAAACCAGGAAAATTTTTGAAAACACTTTTTATCAAATGATTTTTCATTGCTTTTCCAAGTTAAACACAAGTTTATTGATAAAACACTCAGTTAACTGGAGAGCAAAGTATGGCATCACTTAACATAAAGGAAACCATGAAAACATTAGTAAAATAAAAGGCAAGGTATTAAATATTTAGGACTTAAAAATTTTTTTCCTATTTTAGAACTAAATTTTGCCTATTCTATAGATATAACTTATGTTGTACAAGTTCTTACACTAATTTTGATGATTCAGATCAAAAAATTGTTTTTAAATCCATACGGCATTTACCAAAAAAATTAAATTTATAGTACCTTATAATTTTTTCAGAGCCATAATTGTGACCACTTATTAATCGTCTATATTTTGTTTAAAAAATTTTTAATCTAATAAAAGGGTAGTCTGAGTATGTCTCATGGTGTATACATGTCATAAAATGTATGTAAAAAAACGTATTGCGGGAAAACTGGGCTTTTTTTGTCCATGAGCACTGCACTAAAAATGCTCTCAAAATTTTACGCTTTGATCAAACTTGTCTGATTGTAAGCCCTCAGCTGAGACATTCAGCCCAAATCTAACAACAAAATTGCGGCCTATTTAGATCATAACTACTTAATTTAATCTTAAAACTTGATAACATGTATATGCGTCTGCGTTCACAGACAGAGTTCTGTTTCTCGTCAAAATTCAACTTTTTAGTACTGTATGTTTTGCTGCAGATAGCAATTAATGCAGACGCTTCATAATGCAAAATAAACATAAAAACAGTCAAAAAAGATTTGGTATCTGTTACAGAAATAAATTTAAATTCTACAACAAAGTATTGAATACAAATTTTGTAGAGCTTATAAAAAAGAAACTTTTGAAAGTAATTTTTTTTTTTTAATATCTTCTGAACGATTTAATAGCCAATAATCGTTTTTAAATGGCTGAAAAATCGTTTTACACCATTTAATTGAAAAAAAGCAGTGATGTTTTTCTGTGTTTTTTTTCTAGAAACAATACTCAAATAAGACTACCACCTAAACAATGAAATATAATGCGTTCAACAAACGTGGTCTTTAGATATCTTTAGTATAAAAAGTACTAGTTTGATTCCTGGGATAAATAATAATGATAATATTTATAATTATAATAATAATAATAACAATAATAATTAAAAATATTTTGAGTAGAATTTCTATAAAATCATTTAATAGTCTGCTGAGAAACCAGTGATTTCTCGAATGAATCGTAGTAGGTATTAAAAAAAAAAATCTCTACCAATTACATAGCTCTTAACTTTTATCAATAATTTTTATTTCTTAATTTTTATGTTGCACTAAATTAGTTGTACTAATATTTATTGAATCCAGGTATAATTATAGTCACTTTAAAAATTTGGTTTAGTCCTAAAGTTTTTGTTGGACACAATTTAATATTTGTCATTTAAAATATTTACATAATATCATATGATTCTTAATTTGAAAATAATAAAGATATCGATAAAAATTGAAGCGACTTTAGGAACGGGATTAGAAACAACTAGGCTTACTAAATATTTTCAAAAGATTGTAGAGACATGAGTATTGATGCACACGTACACCCGAATTTACCTATATCAAATTTTGTTTTTGTTTTTTTTATTTAATTTTTTTTAATCATGCTTTTAGTCAGGAACTTAATGTTGCTGTAAAGTTTTAATCATAAAATATAACACTAAAAAAATAATTAAGAACAAAAAGCAAAACTTTTTTTATTTTAACATTGATTTTTAGAGGTTTATATGTTTTAATAAAAAACAAATTGACCAATCACATTGGTTTTTTTAGCCTTAGTACGTATACCAAAACAAAATCATAAGCTAAGGATGATTAGAACCGATCATGAGAATCCTTATTATAGGTGCAAAAAATTATAGAGGTATGTACTAAGAGATTAAAACTTACCAACATATTTACATTGAAATTAAAAAAATGTATAAGTAAAATTAAAATTTCGTCTGTCGATGGTAGTACTAATTTTAAGATAAAAAATTTAAAGTTTGTTAAAATTGTTTCAAAAAGTTCTAAAATGTGATTTGTAACATATTGATGTGTGTACATATACATACACATACGCTTATTATATGCAACAATTGATGGGCATTTTTGTGAGATAAAGGAAAATCAAGTATTAACTCAAAAAATAGTATTATTACAGTACTAAAAAGTTGAATTTTGACGAGAAACAGAACTCTGTCTGTGAACGCAGACGCATATACATGTTATCAAGTTTTAAGATTAAATTAAGTAGTTATGATCTAAATAGGCCGCAATTTTGTTGTTAGATTTGGGCTGAATGTCTCAGCTGAGGGCTTACAATCAGACAAGTTTGATCAAAGCGTAAAATTTTGAGAGCATTTTTAGTGCAGTGCTCATGGACAAAAAAAGCCCAGTTTTCCCGCAATACGTTTTTTTACATACATTTTATGACATGTATACACCATGAGACATATTCAGACTACCCTTTTATTAGATTAAAAATTTTTTAAACAAAATATAGACGATTAATAAGTGGTCACAATTGTGGCTCTGAAAAAATTATAAGGTACTATAAATTTAATTTTTTTGGTAAATGCCGTATGGATTTAAAAACAATTTTTTGATCTGAATCATCAAAATTAGTGTAAGAACTTGTACAACATAAGTTATATCTATAGAATAGGCAAAATTTAGTTCTAAAATAGGAAAAAAATTTTTAAGTCCTAAATATTTAATACCTTGCCTTTTATTTTACTAATGTTTTCATGGTTTCCTTTATGTTAAGTGATGCCATACTTTGCTCTCCAGTTAACTGAGTGTTTTATCAATAAACTTGTGTTTAACTTGGAAAAGCAATGAAAAATCATTTGATAAAAAGTGTTTTCAAAAATTTTCCTGGTTTCTAATAGTTTAATTAATTGTTTGAATAAGTTTTACACAATTATTAATTAGGTTGTAAAAGGTGTGATCCTCATCGAAGTGAGATCATAACCATTTTGTTAGAATAGTGTAAAATAACTTAGTACTATTAAATTACTTTTGGTTGATTTTTAACTTCATCAATAATAGTTTTATAGCCATCTAAAAAAGGATGAAATGGTAATTAGCATTTTCCCCACTAATGATATTATATTTTTATTAAAAAATTTAAATATCTAACAAAATCACCCAACTTTACAAGGAATGAATTTACAAAGCGTAGTCGGTAAGCAACATAAACATGAGAATTAAATACTATTATCAAAAAAAAGTTTTGTACTACCATAAAAAAAAATCGTAAAAAAAAAAAAATTCTGCTGCGAGCGAGATTTGAACCCCAGAATGCTCAAAGCAAAATTACACAATGCGGTACTTAGTTACCTTGACTACCAACGCACTCTTTTCTTTAGCACTTACAGTGACACATGTTTATCGTGAAGCTCCAGGGTTTAAGCTTAAGTATTAGTTTATTTTTTCTTTATATTGATAATTGTGTTAAAGTTTGGCCTACAAGTAGAATTATTTTTCTAAATATTTTCACAATTACTTATTCTTATTAGAAAAGTTACATGTGTTGAAGAATGACATTTGAATTACAGAAAAAGTCATTCTCTATTGAATAAACTTAAAAATCAAAGTGAAGCGTGTGTGTATTATTCTGATATTTTTAATGTGCTAAATTTTTATAAATCTATAAAAACATAAATTATTCAAGTTGTAAAAATGATTATTTTATAGAGATCAAGTTTCAAGAAGTTACATTAAATATCGGGGCTTACGTTTTTATTACTCAATTTTTTATTTTATACGAGGAAAACTCAGTATTTAGCTGTACAAGTATTTAATACACATTTAATGAATAATATATGACCGGACATATAATAACTGTCCAACATTCAAAACCGCTTTTGAGGGAACATCACATCAGGAATAGATATAGGTATACGCATGCATGCGAGAGCTGCGAGCTGCGAGAGCCGGGAGCCGAGAGCCGAGGCAGCTAGAATACAAAACATATATAGCTATACCCGTGTATACGCACATATTCCTTCCCCCTCTACTAGGTACCTATCGTACGCACAATTTGGTCTTCTCCTCCGCTGCTGAAACGTGCGTATAGTTCGGCTGATTTGCCGCGACGGGGCGCTCAAAACAGTGGAAAAAAAGCGACACACTCTCTACCATAGGCGCTGGCAATCTCCCTTCTAATCTCTGGTACCATGTAGCGAAGTAGCCCCGGGGGGGGCTGAGGAGCCGATTCGCAAGGCCGAACACAATGGTGGGTGTGGTTAAAGAAATACGGAAATGGAACGAACATCATCAAGGTAGAAGGTAGAAGTGGTAGAACTGTGTGTGGAACAAGGGGGGCAGGGGGGACACAAAACAAAGGGAGTCGTGTCGTGTCACTAGCTGTCGCAATCTCTCGCGGGAACACTTTAATTTGTTATCAGTTAGTTAATTAGGCTGATAAAATAGTACTAAACTTTTACATCATTGGATGAAAATGAATTATCGAAAATGAAGGTCCAACCCTTAAAACATGATTTATTTTGAAATCCAAGCTCCAAAAGTTCGTAGTCTGCTAGAAAGGTGTGAGTGTGTATATTTTTATTTTTAAATTTATTATGCATAGGTGGATTATCAGTAGATCGTTGTATATTTTAAAATCGTCCGTGCACTCTTGTATCTTTTCTTATTAAAACCGATACAGTCAATTTTGTTATACTTACAGGTTATTGTACAATATTTTTCAAAGTTCTCTAGGTTACATAAACGCTTAAGTATTCAAGAGTTGAAAATAGACTGCAACGAAAAAGTATTTCTAATCGTTCGATTGACATTTATTTAATTATATTTTAAATACGGTGTAAAGTGAATTTAATAAAAATGGATGACATAAGAACGGAATTGCTAAATAAAATAAAAGCTGCAGGCAGAGGTAATGAGATGACATTTAAATTTAAATTAATGGAAACCGATGAATTGAGAGTTGTGATGGCTCTAAGTATGATGGAGATGTTTGGCATGGTTCCAAAAGCTACGTGTGCAACGAAAAATCACAAGACGTCAATCAAATTGAAAAATGAGGCCAATAGAATCTTTGTATCAAGTAAGGATAACGTTGATGATTTCATTAAAGCTTGGGAAACATACTCTAAGAGCATAGCAGCTGCTCCTAATAAATCTGAAGAGCTGTCTCTGGCTTATGCCAATAGATCAGCCGTTTTACTGAGACTACATCGATATGCAGAGTGCATTGAGGATATAAATAGAGCTCTGGAGTTGAATTATCCAAATAAATTGAGAGGAAAGCTTTTGTTCAGAAAAATAGAGTGTCTTGGTGCATCTGAAAATTCTAATGATGTTTGTAAAGTACTGGATGAAGCAACAAGTTGGTTGGAAAACATCACTTTAGAAGATGATGAAAAACAAAAATACAAAGTAAAATTAGATTGTGCCAAAAATTCGAATTTTACAGAAAGTCCTAAGAGCAAGATGACAAAAAATATTCCAAAAATTGATCATCATCCAAAAATACCATGTGCCTCGGAAGCATTAGCCCTTAAATATAATGATAAATTTGGCAGGCACATCGTGACTACCCGTAAAATTCAAGCAGGGGAAATTTTGGTAGTAGAAAAGCCCTATGCCAAAATTTTAATGCCAGAAGAAGCTTACACACATTGTTCACACTGCTTGCAACTCCATTGGGCTTTAATTCCTTGTGAAACTTGTACTAATGCCATGTATTGCTCTAAAAAGTGTAAAAGTGAAGCATGGAAGCAATATCACGATATTGAATGTCCAATCACTGGTTATTTGTTAACTTTGGGTTATAATAAACGCAGCTTATTCAGTATGAGGCTAGCTATTTTAGCTTTAAGAGAAGTAGGAAGTTTAAAAAAACTAAAATTTTTGGCAGAATTTGCTGACTCACAAAAAGGTAAATATTGAAAGAAATTTTTTTTTTTTTTTGGTATTAAATAAGTTTTCTTGTATTATATTTAGATCCTGAAAAAAGAGGGTTTGCTGAAGATGGTATATACCACAGTGAAAAATATTGTGCTTTGCATACTTTGGTAACTAATGTAGATAAGCGATCTGTATTTGATCTCTTTGAAAGGGCTCTGAATGCTGCTTTCATTCTATTTTATTTATACACTAAAACAACATTATTTGGGAAACAATTTTCACCTTCATTGAATGACCTGGCTATGAATGATGATATTACATATTTTGGAGGTATAATAATGCGTCAAATGCAAATTATCCCCAGCAATATTCACAGTGTAGGATTTTGATTTAAACATAAAAAATTTTAATCTTTTGAAGTAAATATTTACACATAGTGTATTATTATTTTAGTATGAAGAAGAGCGCAGAGTAGAAACTGTAGATATAGGGGCAGCTGCTTTACCGTTTTGCAGCCTTATAAATCATAGCTGTGATCCAAATGTATCTAGATGTTCCTCTGGAGACTATATGATTGTTTTTGCTATTATTCCTATAGATAAAGGTGCCCAAGTAAGTCCGTTGTTCAAGACCAACAGATTTTACATTTTATTTGTCGTTAATTTAAAATTAAAAATTACAGATTTATGATAATTACGGTATTCATTATGCTGTAATGGATAAGTACGAAAGAAGAGAAAAATTGAAACAGTTTTACTTTGAATGTGAATGTACAGCTTGCAAAAAAGACTGGCCTACTTATGAAAAGCTAACATCTTTCAATGTAAGTTTATTTATATTTATAAAAATGCGATGTAGCTCCTACTTACCCGTAGGTTCGCCTTTATTGGTAATTAATAAAAATAAAACTAAAAAAACATTGAATAAAAATAAAACACAATTGCGTATAGGATTATTATAATTTCGGACTCTCGGGGTCCCAGACAGAAGCAAATCTTTTTTGAATATCAGGTTACTAAAATATAAACTATCAAACAAAACCTTTTTTAACATATCTTGCTTCCCCTCAGTTATTCGATGTTTAAAAAAAATGTTTTTAAGGTTCTTTCAAACAAAAAACAACTTAAAAAAATGTAGCCATGCTCTTTTTATTAATTATTTACAAATTAATTTTTTGAAATCGTGCACTGTGAATAATGTACTTATGTTAGTGCGCTTTAATAACAAAAACATCTTTTATGACATTAAAAACTCGTGAAAAAAGGTTTATTCGAGAAAGTGCGAGATCGTACTGAGGAAACTATGTATGTATACATACAAAATGCACACGTTTGGACCGGTTGAATCGATCTGACCACTTTTCCCGAACGAGTCCGTCGTTAGTTTTTGCTAATCAAATTTTCCCTCGAGATATGTAAAATTTTACGATATTCTTTAAATTATATTCACATACCCAAAGTTTTCAATGACGCGTGCACGACTGTACACTAAAAAATAATACTTTTATTAAAACACTTTACATTATCCCTAAAGCGAATTTATATTTTGTCCAAATACTGAATTTGTTTTAATAAATCGATTTCAAATAAATTTAAATCAAAAAAATATCCATTAAAAATTGTTTTTATTTTTACAAATTAAAAAAAAAATCAAACAAATGAGTTGGAAATAAAATTTATTAACAAAAACCATAAAAGATTTGTTAATTAAATTCATTCTTTAAATTGTAAAAATTCATATTTTCATTGGGATCTGTAGAGCTAAAAATAAATGACAATTTTTGTCGATCAATTTAGCTATATCGCAATTTATTACCCAATACCTTAACATTCATTTACATAGTATTAGTAAGATTAGTAAATATTTTTACTACTGTTTTATTTTAGATAATGTCAATTAGTAATGATAAGAAGAAAAAAATAGCAAAGCTTTTGGAAAATTTTAATGATTACGTTGATTATGCAACCGAAGATGAAATCGAAGACAAACCTTATTTATTGATAGAATTACCGAAGATAATAAGTAACCTATTGAAATATGTGCCACTGCCTTGCTGTGAAGTTAACAATGCCGTGGAAACTTTTAAAAGAGTGTTTGCTTTAACATATGGAAATAAATTCGAATTTCCAAAATTAAGGTAATGAATGAAAATTTTCATAGAATATATTATATTTCAGAGCTGTATACGAAAGATTATATTAAAAGTTATCTAATTTTTATAAACCAGTTCTAATAATAAAGTCGAAAAAATATTTTTTGTATTTATACTTTATAACAAAAAATTCATGCCTACTAATAAATAAAAATAAAAAAAAACACTTCAATGTCTTTCATTGCACGTAAATAACTACAAAAAATCGTTTTTCATTAAATAATAACTTTATTGTACATGAGAAACATACATGAGTTTTACCATACATATACGTCAACATTTAATATCACAGTGAATATACGTTTGCAATAGACTGCTGCATAAATATAGTCTTCTGCACGTGATTATACTTTCGTCGAGAGGAGGCTAAATTGGCACTAATAGATTTCATTGTATTTATACATGTCCGTATTGATTCTTCATTTTTTTTTTTTTTTTTTTTCTATACAATTTATAGAATACGTTAAACTATATAACGTTTTTTTGTGCAACCGTCAATAATATTTATTAACAATAGATTCTATTCATTTGCATTTTTTTTCAATCACAGTATATATACTTCATACTCAGACATATATATTACTTTATATATACGCATTTGCTGTGCATCATTTATATTTTTTAGTACTGAAAATATTGTGCATATACACGCTTTACATGATTACAAAATGTATAAAGAGACTTTACTTGCTATCTATGAGAAGGAGCATTATACTTTGATATCTAGACAGCAGCAATAAGAGTCTACGCAAATATTTTTTTCACATGTAAAACAACAGCGTTTTGATGAAAAGTAACGTTTTCAATCTAATATGTGTCTACATATACTGTAGTCTGTAATTGAATTGAAGTCAAAGTTGAAAAATGTTATTGTCAAATGAGAATTTGCTGTTCGTAACGATTTTAATTTTTTGTACTTTTATCATTTTGTTTTATTTGTAATAATCGGACAAAACTTTTATTTAAGAATTCGTAACTACTCAATGAGTTTAAAAAAAATTTATTATAAAAAATAGTCAAGGTTACTTAAACAATTTTTAAAGTGTCTTTGAGTGGGTTGTTATAATGTTGCTGTCTAGACATATGGGAATTATATATATTAAATATTTGTATACACGTAACATTTTGTAGCAAACAATTAACAGTAAACTAGCTTTGAATGCTATTTTTCACATATATAATAAATTGATTTGAATATAATTAAAGATTTCATGATTTTGGCACAATAAGAAAAAATCACAGACGAAATCATTGTACATTGCAAAAGTCTCAAGAAGAGAACAGATTGTTTATAGAATTTCATTTTGTAAATTTCAAAGATTAAATTTCTTTTATTTTCCTTGTCTAGCTTATTATTAGTTCCGATTCTTTCCTAACATTTATTTTTGTTTCCATCGACAGATAGAACGAGGTCACTGCATAGATTGTTAAAAAAATAAATACTTTAGAATGTATATAGATATCTTTGTAATCAAACAAAATATAATACTGAGGACAAAATGGTCCACGATTTTTCTACAATTTTTAATTTTCTATGACTTTTTTTCTACTGTAAATATTACGTTTTTTCTGATGGGTGCAAAAATTAAATGCACATCGTATCACGAGAATTGTATATGAAATGCCACGCTGATTTCATCGATATATTTGATTTTTGCATGTATTTTTTTTTTAATCGTATTTTTCGTTTCCAAATTAAATAACCAATCGCGCTAATATAAAACACAGGAATACTTGAAACTTTTTAGACTGTCCGTTATAAATATATTTTTCAATTATTCAAAAAAATTTTAACTCGCAACTTCAAAATTTAAAGAAATTATATAAAAAACAGGAGGAAAATTCACTGATGGAAAAAATTGACACCAAGAAGTGATCCTTGAACGCCTAATACGGTACAAAAACATTGAAAAACGTTATTTTTATAACTTTATAACGTAAAAAACAAAAGTTATATGACAAAGTTGTGAAAAACCTTTTAAAAATGTCGAAAATGTCCGCTGATTTTTGTGACTAAAAAGAACTTACTGGATTCCTTATAAGTGACTTTTCATGGAAAATAAAAATTCGCCTAAAGCTCATCAGGACTAAGCCATATTTTATGATAATTTTTAGCAACGATATTGTATACTTTGATTTATTTTTATAAATAGCAACAGAGTACTATATAAAATGGCTTAGTCTAGATATATAATTACAACACTTTACGCCTTGTCGTTTCTATGGTAAAACCTAATTTGGCCACTCACTACATGTAAATTAAGACAAAAGAGGTCGAAAGGTGTAATTTTTTTAGTCAATAAAAGCAGCAGACATTGTCAATGTTTTTGTAGCCTTTTCACAAATTTACCGAAAAAACAACCATTGTAAAAACGTTTTAGAGTTTTGAAAATAACATTATTTTCCAGCGTTTTGAAAACGTTGTGTGCTGTGAAAAAATGGCCCCTCAGACTAAAGTCTCTCCTTGGCAAAGCAGAAGGCGACAATACACGTATATTATTATATGACACCATGCATGTATACTTAATCGTACGTAAAAACGTTGTATTTTAAGTGATGATTTTCCAATTCGGCAAAGCCTCGGCAATCATAGTAGAAAAGTGCGTAGAAACGTTATAAACAATTGTCTCACCTGCAGCCAGGACCGCCCCGAAGGCCCCGTAAGTGCCGTAATCGATGATGGCGTGGTCGCAAGACGCCAGCACTGCCAAATCCTTGCCGGGACCACGGGGGTCCTCGTAGCTGGAAATAAAGACGATCCGTCGAAACTTACCGCGATCGGCGCTCAACAGGTGATACTTGCACCAGCCTATGTTGTCGCTCGCAACCACAAATATCGCGTTCTCGTACTTCTCGTCGAAGTAATTCATCGCCTTGAAGTAATAGTCCACCGGTGCCGGTCTCACTCGCAATTTCTGCCACAGATAGTCGATGTAATCGGTACGGCGCACGTGCACGCCCACGTACGTCGGCTTCGACAGGTTGTACCGCGCCGAGGCCTCCTTGAGTACCGTTTTGGCGTGCCTCCGCAAGCTCTTTTGGAACTTGAACTCTTGACGGAAGTCATCCAGCCACACCAGTATCAAGGACCAATAAGCCGCGTATCTGCAAGCGCCGAGGGAGACAATGTGACGAAAATCGAGTCGTGAGGTTTTTTTTTTTTTCACTGTTTCGACGCGTAGATGCATATATACTACATACGTACTTTGGAATAATGATGTTTTGCTCCGTGCTGTTCCACTCCGACAATGAATTAACGATCTGGCCGACGTCAATAATGCACTGGTTGATACTACTCAGAGATGGTATGCTCAGATGTTCGAAGTACTCCTCCAAAGTTTTCAATATACATCTCGGCATGTACGGCTCGAGTCCAGTTCTCCTGCAATATGGCATAACACGTGTAAAATTCACAAAAGTACAAAATAATATACGTAACAAGTATAATACCGACAGGCGAAGTATAAGGTACCGCGATTTTATGTAGGTAAAAAATAAAGCGCACCTAGCAATGGCCCAGACCGAAGCGTACTCCCAGATTTGATTGCCCAATCTTCCACCCTGCACCGCCGAGATGATGCCGTACTTGGGACAAGAGGGTGTTTTGCGCTTACCGTGTCCGGTCTTGACTGCCCGTGAATAAATGTCATGGCACAGGGCTTGCTCGTACGAGGATATCCTGATGCGTCGAGTGGCTGGACTCGAGGTGTACATGGGGAACAGAAACACGTGGATGCAGAGGACGACTAGCAACGCGAGGACTATTGCACTTGCAAGCACGTGCTGCTGGGCTTGACTCATATTCCGTGCTTCGACTACCCTTTTTTTTTCNTCGTACAAAGTGAATACCGCGATCGGGGCGAGTGGAGAATGGGTTTTTGAAGTATCGACCGCCGGGGTATTTTTACGGCGGGAAGACGCGACTGAGGCAGCATAAAGGACCCTTTTTTTTTTTTTTTTTTTTTTTTTTTTTTTTTTTTTTTTTTTTCATTTTGTGCATCAAGATCGGTTACCTTTTTATTGATTATGTACGTATATAAGTTGGTAATTAAATTTTTGATTCACACAAGCGAAAATAACTCTATTGTTGAATAATGCTGAAGCGCCAACTTTTTATCTGCTGGCGTTTCATACAATTAGGTAAGTGCGCGGCTATACATCTTTAGCATTCATTGTCGCCCAGCAGCAGCCGTGAACTCGTTTCTTTTTCATTTATTTTCATACATTTTAAGCTAAAAGAATGTTTATTTTCAACTTTGTTGAATGAGGAACGTTTTACAATTGACAAGACAGTAGTAACAACTATGGATTCTTTATTTCTATGCCAAAATTATTGGGGACTGCTTACTTTGACCCAATAAATTAGCCAATAATAATATACAAATGTAATGTACAAAATTAATAAGTATACATATATATGTACATGAACAAACATCTAAATATTGCATCAAAATCTTTGCTAACGTAATCAAACATTTTCAATCATACAGTAAAAGTCTACGGCCATCGAATAATGGTGACAGTAGCGTAACAATAATTGAAATTAAAAAACAAAAAATTGTTAAAACTAATTACTTCAGTGCTGGTCGAGATGAGCATAGAGTCTCCTTCCTTTTTCACGCTGCTTTTTCTCGCGTCTTCTCCATGGTTTGTCAGCTGAACTAGTTGAAATACTTAGAGTAGAACCCATCATTGATTCAGTTCCATCTATTGTGCCAGGATAAAGACTTGCGTTTGATCCCACGACTGCGGTTCCAGTACTATTCAATGACATCATAGAATTGATGTGTCCAATAATAGATTTACCTTTTACATGCACGCCATTTCTACATTTTCGAAACGCCTCATTTCCTGATTCTGATAACTGAAAGTTTCTGTCGATATCCTCGGCAGTCTTTTTCAGAGATTTAATGGCTCTTGCTACTCTAGGTGGTAACTGCTTATGAGTCATATCCTTTCTCCGTTTGGGTGGGAACGTATGGAACTCTTGTTGATCATAGCCTGGAGGGGCGACGCAATACAAAAGTTTACCTATGATGAAATCTTTGAGAACATACCTGGCTGAACGCGAACAGTCGGGCTGTCCATTTTGCGTCATGAATCCTCTGTTAAATGCGTGAGCATTCAAAATCTCTTCAGCCAGTGGAGGCCTGTCTGGATCTTCTCCTTCTATCGGTAGTGGAATTATTATTCCATACAGATCTTCTATGACGTGCCTTGGAATCAGTGTGCCTAGTAAATTTACCGATGGAACATGATCTCTCAAATGATTTATGGGCAAAACGCCATTGAGTACCATATCAGCTTTGGTACAGACAAAACTGGGCATCACAAGACCTGGACAATCACACAGTAACACATCTTTGCCCAAGTATAAAGTTTGAAAGTGTTTTGTTTTTCCCGGTGTTGCTGAGACTGATACTTTTTTGTCCATTAGTAAAGCATTTATTGTTGAACTCTTACCCACATTGGGATAGCCCACCAAGCCAATTGTGGTCACTCCTTTCATGTAAGTTTTTAGTGGGTACATTGTTCTAAACAAAGTTATTAGTTCTTCTCTGGTCAACAATTCAGCTGAGTTATGAATTTCAGCAGAATGAAAATCAATTTCTTCTTTAATGGGTTCATCGATTTCGAGATTTTCCAAACGTTTGACTGTAGTGAGATTCAAGTTATCAGTGGCGCTCTCATATTCTGATTCCTCAAAAAATGTCTCTGACTCTTCGATGAAGTCTGAGGTATATATGGACTCCATATCACTTCCCTCGATGGAATCTTCCTCTTCAGACCTTTCCTCTTCCTCGGATATGGTTTCTTCAATGGTTTCTTTCTGAGCAGCCAATGTAGCAGAGAAAAAGGCCACCCTAATCTTATTTTCCATAAAGTACTCCGCCCAAATTTTTCTTTGTTGTTCAGTCAAATAGTCAGCCTTATTAATTAAAATCATATTTAACTTATTTGGATCTATTTCCTTGACGTAATTTTCTAAATCTTCACATCTAAACAGCAACGGATTACGAGCATCAACAATCTGTACAACCACATCGCTGCGCCTAATAACTCTCCACAACTGCCGCCATAGTTCTAAATTTTTCTCATACGGTGTCAATAACAAGCCCTCCTCTTCCTGCAACAGAGCAAGCCTCCTTCTCCACTCCAAAAACACTTCCTTCTCCTTAGTCTGCAACTCGTTTGCTGTCGTATTCTCATCCCACAGAGGCTGCCTTGGAATTTTAAGGAGCTCCTTGTTCTTCTCCTGAGACTGGATGACTTGGTCGTGTTCCTGCTTGGTCAGTAGACCAACTCCACTCTTTGGATTGACGAATTTGATGTTCAGCTTCTCTGCTTGGAATTCGGTTCCAGCCAACTCAGCCGTGTGAAGGAACTCCTGGAAGGAGCTCTCCTCGGTTACAGACTGAAGATTGAGCTGACCCCAGTCGTAGCCATCCTGCATATCCACAGTATGAAGAAACGAATCAGCATTATTTCTGCGGCGTTTGTTGGACCCGAAACGATCCTTGATCAGAGCTCGGCCGAGATTTTTCTCCTTGTTCTTTTTGCCCATTCTCTTCGTCACGAACTATTGTCAAATGTTAAAAAATAAACTTCCAATTGCTCCGACTTCCTGAAACAAGAGATTCAAGTATGATAAGAAAATTTGGTTCGTTTACGAAGGAGACTTGATGCGGTCGGTACTATTTTTATTTAAAAACTTTACCACAACAGACGGTCTTAACCTCGAAGCGAAGAGAGAATCCTACTCTACACACGCGTTTTGTTGTAGTTGTCACAGCTTACTTGACCTCCAACTCCAACTCGAACTAGAGCACCACGCACCACCAGTTAAAAAAAAAAATTAAGCTCAACGATTATCAGGCAGATCAAATATATTTATTATTTTACATCACACGGGGAAAAACAATGAAAAACTTTTAAGCTCGATATAAGAGATTGGAATAGAAGCGACACTAGCGACAGCGCAAAAATAAATATAAGTAGCAGCGCAGCGTGACGTAAAAGTAAAAGCCGTGTAAGCACCACACACACATGCCATTCACACATCCGATCGAACTGAGTTTCGTTACAGGATAAAACATCGAAAGCTAATTTTCTTTGAGCTTTTCTTAACCACCTACTTGTTCTCCCACCTAATATTTATCGTCAAACGCCACGGTTTCTTTTTACCGTACAAGTACTTTTCTCCTATTGTTTATTTTCCCTTTCATTTTGCGTTTTGCGCTTGGAAAAACTTCGAGGCGCGCGCGTGTAATCGAAATTACTTTTTCTTAACGTTAAAATCTAAGTGTATACTTTTTGAATGCTCGTATCATGCCAGAGCGGTACACACAAACTCCTACGAGCTTTCCGGAGCGAGATAATTACACCGCCAAGTACATATTGCAATCTAGATTGTAGATCTCAAAAGTTAAGCACGCACTCGGGCCGAAAATACACCCACTCCGGCGTTACCATTGCAAAATCGTTATTCGCCTCGCGCACCACCACCTTGGCCCGACGAAGGAAAAATCAATGTACTACCGAGCAAAAAATCTCTCGTGCATGAAAAACCAAAAACCCTTGCGTATAAATAATTTAAAAAAAATAAAATAAAATAAAATAGGCTCCCGAGTGGACAAGCACTGGTTCGTGGTGCAGGACACGCTGCTAAAGACAGACCGGCTGTTGACCCTCGCGCCGCTCAACCGCAACTGCAGCCTCAGCATCAAGCCATCGACGCGCGATGTCCTGAACAAGCTCTTCCTCACGCTCCAGCATCCCTACATCTGTCCGATTCTTGATCTCGAGTTCGTCAAGTACGAAGACCAGGATTACGTTGTGCTCGTACAGCCCATCAATCAGGGCAGCATCAAGGACATCATCTACGGCGTAAGTATACCCATACATTTTTTTTTTTTTTTTTTTTTTTTTTTTTTTTTTTTTTTTTTTTTTTTTTTTTTTT